AATTCCATACCATTAAACATCTCATTCCCCCCAACCCCAGCCCCTGGCACTCAACACTCTACTTTCTGTCTTTGTGAATTTGACTACTCTAACTACTTCATATAAGTGGAATCAAAAAATATTTGTACTTTTGTGTTTGGCTTATTTCCTTTAGCATAATGTCTACATGCTATAGCAGGCGTCAGAATTTCATTCATTTTTTAAGGCTGAATAATATTCCATTGTATGTATATACCATATTTTGTTTATCCAGTCTTCCATCAATGGATACTTAGATTGCTTCCATCTTTTGGCTATTGTGTATAATGCCATGAATATTGATACAGATATATCTGTTTGAGTCTCTGCTTTCAATTCTTTTGGGTATATCCCCAGATATGGAATTTCTCTATCATGTAGTAATTCTATGTTTAGTTTTTTTTGAGGAACCACCATAATATTTCCCACAGTGTCTGCACAATTTTACATTCCCACCAGCAATGTACAAGGGTTCAACTTTCTCTACATCCTTACTAAGGCTTGTTCTTTTTCTTTTTAAATTGTTTTTATTGATTGATTTTAGAGAGGCAGGAAAGGGGAGAGAGAAACACTGATTTGTTGTTCCACTTATTTATGTATACCTTGGTTGATTTTTGTACATGCCCTGACCAAGAATCAAACCTACAACCTTAGTATATTGAGATGACACTTTAACCAACTGAGCTACCTGGCTATTTTTTTTCTTAACTACAGCCATACTAATGGGTGTGAAGTAATATTTCATTGTGTTTTTTCCTCATCTATTATCATTTTATTTCAATAGAAAGAAAATGACTGAGGAAGTATAATTAATTTGACATAGGTAATTCTGGGCTGAGCATTTCAATATAAGAAGCATTTTAAGGCTATTATTAAAACACGTTGTGGTTTTAACATCAGTGCTTTTAAAAACTCCCCAGGTGAGCCCGGCTGGCTTGGCTCAGTGGTTGAGTGTCGACCTATGAACCAGGAGGTCATGGTTCAATTCCCGGTCAGGGTATATGCCCAGGTTGTGGGCAGCTGATCAATGATTCTCTTTCATCATTGATGTTTCCATCTCTCACTCCCTCTCCCTTCCTCTCTGAAATACATAAAAATAGATTTAAAAAATAAAAACTCCCCAGGTGATGCAAATTCATGGTCAAAGTTGAGGACCAATGTTTAGGACTTGAAGTCCAGGGAGGAATTTTTTTTTGCAAAGCCCAGGCGGGGCTGGGTGTGCCCTGTGGAGGCTGCCCCTCCCTCCATTTTATGGGAGCTTGGGCCACTCCATGCTCCAGCCCTCTCTGGACAATAGTCTTTTATCTCTAGAGTCAAGACAGTGACTGTCCCTGAGTCATGGGGCCACCCCTCTAGAGGTGAAAGAGAAGATCCACCTGCTCCTCCAGAAATCAGAGTTTGTGGAGAAGAGCATGAAGCATTTCTCAGGTAGGTGGGCTTGGGGGAAGATAGCAGGTGCCCACTCACTTCCTCCCAGAGATCCATGTAGCCCAGAGCCCCCGGGCATCCCTTCTCCATCTCTCAGTCTTCTGACTCTGCCTTCAGCCTCCTTCTGATCTGTCCTTAGCTGGGGAAATTAACTCTAGTTCTCTTTCTCCTTTAGGAACCCTACGTTCAGAAATGGAAACCTTCAATGGTAAGTACTGTGGTGGTGGTATGTGCTGAGCAGGAGTTATTGTGATGTTTTCTTGTACTGTTGATTTCTGGGCATTATTTAGAAAGAGAGTGAGAAAAATACCTGTGAGAAAGGTCATGACAGGCCCTCACAGGTTCTGTGCGAAACTCCTTTAGCTGGGTCAACCCATCAGACCAGAGAGGCCCTGGTGCCTGGGAGGAATGGGGTTATATCCAAGCAGAGGAATCAGGTCCTGGGCATATGGGTTCTTGTCTTTCCTTGTTGTGGGGATCCAGGTGGATTTAGCCCTCTGAGTGGGAATGCTCAGGATTTCCCCCCTCATCTTTTTTTTTCTCTGTAGTTCCAGAACTGATTGATGCTCAGACACATGCCGGTAAGTGCCAGATCAAGGCGAGTGGTCTTGGCCTGATGGATCCCTGTCCATGTTTTCTGGAGGTGGGGTGAACCTGTGGGGATGTTGCCCATTGACTCCCAGCTAGGTATTCTAATTCTCTCTGCAGTTAATGTGATTCTGGATGCAGAAACTGCCCACCCCAACCTCATCATCTCTGATGACTTGAAGAGTGCTAGACTTGGAAACAAGTGGATCCATATGCCTGACAGTCCAGAAAGATTTGATAGCTGCATTTTTGCCCTGGGCTCTCCAAGCTTCCGCTCTGGCCGTCATTACTGGGAAGTGGAGGTGGGAGACAAGACAGGGTGGGTCCTGGGTATCTGCAAGGCATCCACAAGCAGAAAGGGGAACATGACTCTGTCGCCAGAGAATGGCTACTGGGTGGTGATGATGATGAAGCGAAATGAGTACCAGGCATCCACCTTTCCCCCGACCCGCCTGCGGATGAGGGAGCCCCCCAGGCGTGTGGGCATCTTCCTGGATTACAAGGCTGGAGACATTTCCTTTTACAATGTGACAGCCAAATCACACATCTATACATTCACCAGCTTCTCTTTCTCTGGGCCCCTTCAAGCTATCTTCAGCCCTGGGACACATGATGGAGGGAAGAACATGGATCCTCTCACCATCTGTCCAGTCGGTGACCAGGGGCCTCACTGAAAGCCCTACACTTTGCATCTCTCTTCCAACTCCCAGCCTTGTACTTTGAACTTATACTCTCGCCAGTTACTATTGAACATACATTGGGTTCTGGGTGCTTTGGGAAATATAATAAATCAGAGAATAGTCCTTGTGTCCTAGGAGCTTATGGAATAGTAGTAGAAATAAGCTAGGTCCTCAAATAATGGTAAACCAAGGGTGAAGAGAACACATATGCTGATGACATGCCATGTTTTTTTCAGAGTAGAAAGTGCATGGCTTAATAAACCCTTGTATGGATTAACACCCTAAGATGCTCCTGCGACAGAGATTCCACCCTCATGTTCCCTCAGTACCCATGGCAAGGATATGTCCCCTCATTTTATTCTCCCCTGTCTTGAGGACTTGTCTAGGGGGAAAAAAATAAGCAAAGTGGTTTGCTATACATTTTTTTTGTATCTGGATTAATGAACTGTGGTTCTTAAGAGTATTGGCTGTGCCTGATAAATAAATTGATTAGAAGATTTAATCATAATTCCATTTGCTGTCACTTGATTGATTGCTGTGAGATACCATTTCCCCACTGAACACCATGAAAGAGATGGAGCTACTGTGGTGGGAAAACATTTGACATATATTCTAAGTGTCAAATTTTCTGTCCTAATCTCTGTCTGAAAATCTGTGGGAATATTAGGTGCTTTAGTTCACAGATGTCCCGCTATCATCCCCCATTTAAAGACATGTAAAGAGAAAGGATATAGCGTTGGTGGTATAGTGGTGAGCATAGCTGCCTTCCAAGAGAAAGGATATAAGGGGTGGGGGGACCAAATCAAACTCCAAATTCTTCCTACCGCACCTCCTCTTTCCACATCTGCACACTAGAGCCAAACTGGACTCCAGTTCTCCATGGTTATGACCAGACCACAAAACACATGCTTTGCTGTCTTCATGGAGCTTGGTTCTATGCGAATAATCTATCTGCTGACACAGTTCACGTGCCCTACTTGTTTAGCTGTTCCCTATGGTTGGTCATTTATTACTCCCAATTATCCCTTACTAATAACCTTTTCACAACCAGCTTTGTATATATTTCCCCCCACCTCCCCACTTATTTTTTTCTCCTGTTATTCCTAAAATGGTTCTAAAATATAAACTATTTGATAACACTTGCTACAGTGGCCAGACAATCCTTCAGAAAGATTAAAAAATGTTTCTGCCCAAAGCAATGTTTGACTTTTTTTTTTTTTTGCTGATTTAACAGAGATGGGGTTTTACCTGTGTTTCATATCATTAATATTTGTTGAGGCACTGAATTTTTCCAAGTGAATTTCTACTTTTTGTTTCCTTCTATAGAAATTATATAGCTCCTTTGACTATTTACTTATAGAATCTAGATACTTAACTATTTTTATTTGTAGTATTTCTTTATAAATATTTTAGATACTAAACATTTGTATATGTAAGATGAAATTTTCCCTGTGTCTGGTGGTTTTTTATTGTTATATAATTCACATATCATACAATTCACCCTTTTAAAAATATATTTTATTGATTTTTTACAGAGAAGAAGGGAGAGGGATAGAGAGTTAGAAACATTGATGAGAGAGATCGATCAGCTGCCTCCTGCACGCCCCCCACTGGGGATGTGCCCGCAACCAGGGTACATGCCCTTGACCGGAATCGAACCCGGGACCCTTGAGTCCGCAGGCCGACGCTCTATCCACTGAGCCAAACCGGTTCGGCACACCCTTTTAAAGTATATAGTACTTCCTATTCCTACATGCTTGCCTTCTCCCACAACCACATCAAATTACAACTAAATTATACAACCACCCTTAAGAACCATCTGAAGACTAGCTGAACAAAACTCGTACAATTGAGGATATAATAAGAAGTCTCACCAAGATTGGTAGGAGGGCAAAGACATGAAACAGGCTGGTCCCAGCCTGGTCTCAGCTATGGAGGTCCTCCCTGAGGAGCCAGGGGTCCCAGCGCTACACTGGGCACAGACCATAGCACCGGTGCCAGGAAAAGGATTCTCCAAAACATCTGGCTGTGAAAATCAGTGGAGATTCTGTCTGGGTGACATGGAGGGCTGCTGTTGTCCCAGGTATTCCTTTTCAAGGGCCTGTGTACAAACTTACTTGCTGACATACTCACGGCTCTGACTCCAGTTTAGGGACAGCATTCAAAAAATTGCAGGGCGAGACTGGATGAAACTGACTTGTCTGGCTTTTGGACAGCTGGAGGAGCAGCTCTCTCTGGGACTAAACTGCTGCAAGCACCATTGTTCCTTTGTTGAATCCTCCCTGCACACAGCCAGCAGACACAGGCTGATACCAAATCTGAGTTACCATCAAACTCACCCCACTGTTGATTCCCTGAAACCCACCCTACTTAACTCACACGCCAACCCAAACCTCTTTCAGTGGCTGTTCCTCACAAACTGCCAGTCTGGGCCCACGCTGTGGACTTTCATCAAATCTCTAAAAGGTCCACAAACTCCAAACAAACAGCAGTCGGCCTGGGCATGACCTCTACCTCTGGTTAACTGGCCCAGGACTAGTGGCGGTAGTCCTTGGTCTGCACCAGAGCCTCTCCCAAGTGTTTCCAAGTCCAGCACAGGCACCATCAAACAGATCACTTTGTAGATCACATCACTTGTCCCCAGACCAGGCACAGGGAATGGCTGATCTGGGCCTGCACTGGAGCCCCTCCCAAAAGGCCCCAGAACCAGCACACCTGGTGGCTGGCTTCAGATCATACCAGAGCATCACCAAATTAGCTCCATAAATGACACAAACAACCTGTAGACTTGACAGGCACCAGAGCCTCAGTACAGTGATTAACTCTCCACAGAGTCAACCCCCGCACTCTAGCTCATACACTATAGTCACAGCCAGTCCTCACAGCCAGTCCACCTTAGGGTCAATCCCACCACTGACATGTCAATGGCAATCAAAGCTCAACTAGAACAGGAGAGCACACAAAATGATACCAGGAACACCCCTGAAGCACACAGCTCGGGTGAGCAGGGAGTCTTCACCACTGGGCCCCACAGGACACCTACTAGATAAGGTCACCTTGCCAACACTGGGAAACATAGATCTACCTAATACATAGAAATAGATACAGGGAGGCAGCCAAAATGAGAAGACAAAGAAATATGTCCCAAATGAAAGAACAGGACAAAACTCCAGAAAAAGAACTAAACAAAATGGAGGCAAGGAATCTACGGAATACAGAGTTCCAAATACTGATTATAATGATGCTCAATGAACTTACACAAGAAGGAGAAACCATTAAAAAGAACCAGTCAGAAATGAATACTAAAATAACTGAAATGAAGACTATATTAGATGAAATCAATAGATTAGATGAAGAAGAAAATCAAATCAGCAATTTGGAAGGCAAGCTAATGAAAAACACCCAATCAGCCCTGGCTGGTGGCTCATTTGGTTGGAACATTATCCCATGCACACAAAATTTGTGGGTTCAATTCTTGGTCAGGACACATATCTAGGTTGTGGGTTCAATCCCCAGTTGGGGCATGTATGGGAGGCAATTGGTCAATGTTTCTCTATCACACATCGATGTTTCTCTTTTTCTTTCTCTCCCTTCCTCTCTCTCTCAAATCAATAAAACATATCGTCAGGTGAGGATTAAAAAAAACACCACCCAATCAGAACAGCAAAAAGAAAAAAAGAATTTTT